AGGGTTGCGCGCGCATGGGACAAATCGCACTCTCGCCTGCATTTCGCGCACTCGACACGCACGATCTCCGCAGAGGGTTGCGCGCGCACGGGACAAATCGCACTCTCGCCTGCATTTGGTGCGCTCGACACGCACGATCTCCGCAGAGGGTTGCGCGTCAAGTCTCCAAAACGAGCGTTTCGTACGAGACTTCCTCAAAAACTCACACGTCAAAGTCTGCAAAACGAGCGTTTCGTACGAGACTTCCTCCAAAAGTCAAGCGGAAACACCCATCGGAGCACACACATCACGCAGCCCTGCCAAGCAGTTTCGCGATTCCAGCCCCTCCAAACAACATCCGCTCACACGCCAATCCCAATGGGACAGCGACATTCACCTCTACCACAACTCAGAACCTCACGATTCCCTGCGCCTGCCACGAATCTTTCCCCATCCACACGTCTAACGCGCACAAAGTACTGCGCCTGCCACGAAATGTCACCTCCCTCACACCTCGCAACCTCACGATTCCCTGCGCCTGCCACGAGAATTGCACTTCCACGCTTCAAAGCCCGCACGAAGTCCTGCGCCTGCCACGAAAAGTGACAATATCATCGCATGTGAGCTTCAACAAAATTTGCACCACACCACACGTTTGGAATGATTTCGACCCGTTCAGAGCACACTCCCATCCATCAAAATCGCCATTTCAGCGGAGACTTGTCACGAAAACAGAGCTTCGATGCCACACCCTGAAACGCAAATCCCAATGGCACGGCCACATCCAACACCCCAAAAACACGACTCTCCAAACGCTAATCCCAATGGAACTGCGCCGTAATCTGCGGATCTCACAAAACGCTGCGCCTGTGCAGCGAAGTGCATCACGTTTCTTGCGCGACATGTCCGTGTCACGCAAATCACAATGGAATAGCGGCGCAAACCGACACGTGACACGTCCATGCAAAGTCACTTGCAAAAGCTTCCCCCAATGGCAGCAAATTTGAGACGCGACGACGACGACAAACGACGAGAGACGACGACAGACGACGACAGACGACGACACGACGCAGGCCATGCAAACACATGTCCAACCCCCACACCCCCAACTATAAACGGGAACCCTTCGCTACGCATTCGGCAAAAAAAAGTTATCCCCAAAATCGACCATGTTGGTAGTTTAGTAGCGGCTTGAAAGGGCGGTAATTCAAAAGAGAGGGCAGCGCTGTGAGCGTGTGTATTTTCCAGTAAAATCAGCTATTTTTAGGTGTCCAATAGAGAAATGTAACCACATGAAATGCATACGCTTACAGTGCTGCTGTCAATTCTATGATATTTTTTAAACAGCGCGTCTTCAATGAATGAATGTTCAACTTTGCTTTACTTTGTAAAATATAGTATTGACTGCCCATGAAGTTTATTTAATGTTTCAAAAAGATGCATCTGTTTGAAATACTTATATAAACTGTCTTCCATGAGCTGCTCTTATTGACTGCATACAAAATTTTGAAGGAGTAAAAAGTGCATTTGTCTGGAATCTTGCACTTGTCTTCCATGAGTTGCTCTGGGTAGCCTTCTGTGTTTGAGTATAGTTCATTATGAAATTTATGAACTCATTATGTTTTAAAATGAGTTCATTAATTTTCTGAAGTTCTCTGACTTCCTGAACTCATAAATAAAACACACATTGTTGATTACACCCAAAAATAGAAGTAGTTGATTACACCCAAAAATAGAAGTAGGTTTTATGAATGCGTACAGTTTTAAAAACTCAGAAAAACAACAAATATATACCAAAATGTATTTAATACTAATCAAAATCATTTTTTCAATAGAACTATATACTCAATTTATGGTTTCATATTGGATTTCTCTACTGTACATATAAAGAAACAATATTTTAAATATGTGAGCCTTTTAGTTTGTAATATCCCGATATTCAAGAGAGCATAAGTTCATAATTTAATGTATTCATAGATTCATAATGTTATGATTTTGGAAATCAGAAAAGTGCGTTCATAATTGCATGAACTGTTGGGGATGTCAGAAGATGTCTTTTTTTGCGCGGTTGCTTTTGGTATATTTCTTGTTTTTTAGTTCCACACCAAATATACAAGAAGAACACACAAAACATGAACTCACTTTAGATAATGTATTATAAGTGAACGCTTGCAGATAAGAATGAAGGCAAGACCGGTTGAATTATGATAGAATTGGTTCGCTGCCACTAGCAATATACAAAAACGATCAAACACGGTTAAGAAACACGAATTCAAGTCAAGAATTTGATGCGGCCACTAACTCTAATCAAACCCAGGAAACCCTGAGTTAAAATCTACGCTCCAACCAAATCAAACCATTGGATCATCATTAATTAATACACATGGCATGGCACTGACTGGATTTCGATATCCTTCGTATTGGTTTTGGGCTCTCTTGGTTGGGTTGGATTTGATTGGATTGGATGTCATTTCTTGAGCTGCACTGGGTCGGATTTGTTTTTGAAATATTGTCTTTGGTTGGGCTCAGTTTGATTGAAATATGACACTATTGAACTCAGAGAGAGGGAGAGAGAGTTGAATGCAGGTTTGACTGGAAAAGAAACACATATTGTATTTGACGCGCTTGTGGTACATGTCTTTGTTACTTTTCCCTTAGCTAAATCAACAAATCCAGTCCGGTTAAATCTAATCCAGTCATGTCCAATCAAGTCCAATCCAATTAAACGAAACAAAGAAGAAGAACACATTACATCCAAATCAATGCCAAGCCAACCTTCCTTCAACCGCACCACATCTAACCAATCGAGTTTAAACAACAAAACAGCCAACCATAACCCTGTCAAAATTGAATATAGAAACTAAAAAAAACTTAGCAAACGTTAGCAAACTTAGCAAAACCTAGCTTGCACTTAGCAAAGCTTATCAAAACTTAGCTAACCTTAGCAAGTACACTGCAACGTTACCAAGTACCACCTATATATAGTAGCCTCCCCTCAAATACCAAAAATACAAATCCTGTAGAGGAATAGTTTGCACTCCCTCCAAATACAAAAACATACCAAAAACATCAGAAATACCAAGAATATCAACAATACCAAAAATACAAAAAATGCCAAACATATCAAAAATACCAAAAATATCAATCCTACCAATCCTCTGGAGACATATAGGCCACCTGAGTAGTATTTCCTCTTGGTCTTTTGTATTGTTGGTATTTTTGATATGTTTGATATTTTTTGGTATGTTTATATGTTTGGTATGTTTGGTATGTTTGATATTTTTGGTATTTTTGGTAGTTCCTCTTGGTATTCTTTGTATTTTTGACTTTTTTTGTATTTCCCCTAGGTCTTTGGTATTCGCATATTCTCACGTGCATAGGAAATACTTTTAACTTTTTTAGATTTTCCTTTGCATAAGTAACACTGAAAAATATACACGCTCACAGCGCTGGTTTCTGATTTAAAAACAAATATAAACCGTATGACCGTATTTTGGGTTTCGGACGTGGTGTTTTTCTAAGTGGGGGGAGGTTTTTAAAATAGGTACTCGGGATTCACCTGGCCAAGGATCAGCAGCAATATGAAACCTGCAAACAGCAAACAGCCTCTGGAAAGGGAATTGCAGGAGGGTATGTCACCACACCCAGGTCAATTGGGAGAAAGGCGCAATGTTTTTTTTGTTTGCCCGGCAGGAAGCACCAGGGGAACGGACTTGTGATCTAGCGTCTCCCGAAGACTATATATACCGTTCGACAGGCTAGAAAAGCTACAAAAAGGTGCATAGGGAGATGGCCGTTGAGCTCAGCTGAAGCCGAACTCGGGTCCATACTACTCGTACGTCCTTTTGTACTGATATTCTAGAATCCAAATTCCTAACCGATTTTAACCTCGAAGTGATCTTCGACTCGAATGATGGAGAATGAATTGAAAATCCCGCTGAGACATATGTTGCACATATGAGGTCTTTTGCCGCCATCACTTGACCTTTTCTAATTGTTTCTGCACCTGTTGTCGGAAGATACTTGGTTGATTGCAAACTTTGAACGGTACTTTTTTCAATCTTTGTCTCATAAAGGAATAAGGAAGAATGTATAAAGATTACATAGACATCAAGCTGTTGGAAAGTCATTGGTGTCCTCTCTCTTGTCTCCTTCTCTATGTCCCTTTGCCTTGGCTCCGTGGGTACCAGAAGCATAGTTTGCAATCGAAGGTTGTTGGTGCGGGTGGTCCTCTGCGCGAGGCCCGCGCAATTCTATATCACACACACACACAAAATACCAGTGCTCAGTGTTGAACACGTTCGACAGGGAAATTGTTCGCTGTTTTGGTTTGCAGGTGCGGGACGCTGCTGAATTCTGCAAACAAAAAGATTACCAATGAACTCTGCGTTTGTGATACAGCTTCTACTGTAAATGCCCCTCACTTCCAAGAGGAGTAGAGATGACGTGTAGTTTGGATATTGTGGCAAACATCGCGCAGACGCTCGGACATCTTGCGTGGCATTTGGTCCATGGAATGCTCAACTTCTGTAGTGCGAGTTCTTTGCCAATGCCTGTTGATTGAGTGTGTGGGCTTTCGTAAACGCGCCCCTTGGATCACCCTGATCATCAGCCCACGCCCAACAAGGCATCATGCAAAGGTGCAGCTGAAAGCGGGCGAGATGGTGGCAGCTTGGGCGTACGACAAGTGTTCAAGAAGGGAGTTAAAGCTGGGGACTCCATCTTGCACACCAGGGTTGTGCCATCAATCGCATACCAAATCATTGCTGCAATTGCTGTGTCAGATCAAGCGACTGCTTTCGCACTTCGCACAAACTCACACGTGACAAGTTCTGATTGGCTCTCGGCCTCTGGCTATCGGAGAGTGTGTTCAATGTGGCACTGCAGAAACTACAGAAGCGTGGCTAAGGCATTTGACAACCGCCGGATTCTTCATTCCCGGACCCAGATCTTACCTACTGACGGGGAGCGCTGGATGCAAGGCTCGTTGGGTAAAAGGGTCATGAGTCATGGTGGCATGGTGGAACAGAGCAGAACCTGAAGGTTCATGAGTCCTCCATGGCTTTAGCATGCTTTAGCCCAACGACGTGGGCTAACACTGTGCCGCTGAGACAAGAACCCCAGGCTTCGGAATTATGCCAGTCATTCAAAAGACCCTTTGAATGCGAACTCTTTGGGATTAAATTGCATTTATAGCTGGATCAAAGTATGGGTGTCCAAATTGGTTCAGATCCAAAGACAATACCCGCATGTCATTGCGTTTCTAGGCTTCTGGCAGCGGATTTGTTCCGAGTTAATCCAATACTCAGCGGTTTGTTGTTGATTTTCAGGTATGCCGGTATTCCATGGTTGTTTGGTTTGGGTGGCGTTTCTTCATGTTTCCGGCACACGAGAAACATGTGCAAAGCCTCCTTTGCATGTCCGCGCATAAAGAATATTTGTGTATATACGTATATACAAGAAGCTACTAGTAGCTCCTGGCATTACCACTAGGAACAAGATGCTAGGAACAAGGGGCACCGCTACGAACGAGTAACAAGAAACTACTAGTGCTGCGCAAGCACTTTTTGCATGGCTCCACAGGCACTCTTGGCCAATAGATCCTAGACTCTCACTGTAGGCATGTGCAGCCCGCGAAGGGGACACCCAGTTCTCCAGCAGAGCAAGCAGAACCATTTTCATTGACCTTGGGGAAAACAGTGCGCCAGGTACCTACTTTGACCGAGTGCCTCAGACACGAACTATCGCGGCTCTAGGGGGGTTATTGAATCGATGAAGGTAGCATTGACCTCATTTCAATTGGAGTCCTGTACCGGGTTCCGTTGGTACTCAGCTAGATGCGCGGACAGAATTCAATCGTCCCGGGGGGGCTGCTGATCACCATGCATCATCACGGATTACCACGGAAAGCTACCACAGACTGGCTACAACATGCTATATGCAACGCACGAAACCACCACAATCTGTAAGTCAGTCACTGTGCACTAATTAATGTGCACTGTAGACAGACAGAAATTGCCAGATGCCACGACACATCCTCATACTTTGTGACGCATCTCAAACCACGACGTGTCCCCGCACCACCAAACTCCGCAGACCACCATGGATCACCAGGAGCATGCTCAGCGCAACGCTGAAGAGTAGAAAAATCCCAGATCTAGCTCAGATCGCGAAAGCTACTGAAGATCACTGCCATCAACGTGAAGCAGATCATGGCAACTCCCTACAGATCACTAAATAATACAAGCGCGTCCCATCACTTATTGCAATCCACGGCCACGCACACCAGCACACATTGCCAAGTGAATCGATTAGCTCAAAGTTCTTTGGCAGGCGTTTCCATTTACTAGCTGAGTTCAACTCGGTTCAAGGTTCAAATTATTAGTTGGAAAAGGATCGCTCGGTTGGGCGATGGAGCGGTAACATGCGGCAACACTACCTAGCCGAGCCACTACATAGAAAGCAAGAACCTCTAGGACTGTTGATGAGCTTGTGGGCACTGAGGATGGTTTGTGGTTGACCTTCGAGCGATTGCGAAGAAGAGTTGCCAAGTCCGTTGTGCATTAGGACCGGCTACCGGACAGACATGACCCTTCTGGGATCGAGCACGGGCGGACTGAAGTTATTTGCCAGCCTGTGCTAGCTTGTAGAATAGAAGCGGAACTTTGGCAGAGCTGGCTCGGTGTAGGGCTTGTAGGAGATTTTGAGAAGTGACTACTAACTACGTGAAGAAATTCCAGGAGCACCTGGCCATGATGGTGCACCTTCGCATTCCCCAGACCTCGAGAGGCCCACTCTAGAAGGTGTCCAATTGCTCGATTTGTGGTTTACTCTATTTGGAAATGCTTCACGCAAGAAAGGCACCACTAAGCCAACACAATGCAGAATGCACGGCTCAATCACTGTCATTGCGTTGAAAACATGCAGGTGATAATTACACCACCGTAGACCCCAAACAGTTTGTGTTTTTTCAAAATCGAAACTAGAGCTTGCGACGTCCAGAGGTGGGAGACAAAGGATTGCAAGGCAGAGGCGGCCGCAGCAGCCCAGAGCTGGAAAACAAATGTAAAGGATTGCAAGGCAGAGACGGACACAGCAGTACAGAGCGGGCGGACACATCTTAAGAAAGAATTGAGAAGCCCTAACAGTAAACCGTTTGGGGAATTATTCTTCAAGTGCGAACATGATGCTGGTCATGCTGCTCAATCAGCGGGGAGTTGACCACGTGAGGAAAAGAAATAAAAGCATGAGGAGCGAAGGATGTGACATGAAATTGATTTTTGGTGCCTGACGTATGCCCCCCCGTCCCAACTGAACAGAGAGATGGCTGCCACGCCGCCGAAATCCAATCCGGTCATTCATCCAACGCTTGCCCGAAAAGGAAAACAAAGCTGAGTGTTACACAGTGTGGCAGGAATGCAATCCCGGAGACAGTCACGCAACAGGTGAACCTGTTCCAGCCGACAGGGCAGAAAACAGCAGTGCATGGACCAAACCTGAAAGACAAAAAGAAAGAAATCACATGGGAGACAAATGAATCGAAATGCTACATGGCCAGCGGAAAAGGGCGGCAGCACCAGTGACAGACCCGGGAAACAAATGAATAGACATGCTGCATGGCCAGCGGAAAAGGGCGGACACCAGCAGTAGACCTGGGAGAAAAATGATTAATTTGAAATGCTACATGGCCAGTGGAAATGGGCGGACACCAGCAGTGACACATCTTAAGAAAGAATTGAGAACCCCTAACAGTAAACTGTTTGGGGCAAAAGTTGGAGACAAATGCAAGGAAGTGGGAGACAAGCCGGCCGGAAACAAGCACCCAGCCTGGGAGACAAATGAAAAGAAGTGGGAAACAAATAAAAGGAAGTGGGAGACAAGCCAGCCGGGAACCCGACCACAAGCACCCAGCCTAAAGGAAGTGGGAGACCGGCCGGGAACCCGACTACAAGCACCCAGCCTGGGAGACAATTGAAAAAGTGGGAGACAAATGAAAAGAAGTGGGAAGCAAATGAAAGGAAGTGGGAGACAAGCCAGCTGGGAACCCGACCACAACCACCCAGCCTGGGAGACACGTGAAAAGAAGTGGGAGACAAATGCAGGAAGTGGGACCCAGCCTGGGAGACAAGTGAAAAGAACTGGGAGACAAATGAAAAGAAGTGGGAGACAAATGAAAGGACGTGGGAGACAAATGAAAAGAAGTGGGAAACACATGAAAGGAAGTGGGAGACAAGCCAGCCGGGAACCCGACCACAAGCACCCAGCCTGGGAGACAAATGAAAAGAACTGGGAGACAAATGAAAGGACGTGGGAGACAAATGAAAAGAAGTGGGAAACAAATGACAGGAAGTGGGAGACAAGCCAGCCGGGAACCCGACCACAAGCACCCGTTGGGAGACAAATGAAAAGAAGTGGAAGACAAATCCACGAGCACCCAGCCTGGGAGACAAAAAAGAAGTGGGAGACAAATGAAAGGACGTGGGAGACAAATGAAAAGAAGTGGGAAACACATGAAAGGAAGCGGGAGACAAGCCAGCCGAGAACCCGACCACGAGCACCCAGCCTGGGAGACAAATGAAAAGAACTGGGAGACAAATGAAAGTGGGAGACAAGCCGGCCGGGAACCCGACCAGACCATCCAGCACCAAGGGGACCATTCTTTAAAGCATTGAGAACCCCTAACAGTAAACTGTTTGGGGAAAAATACAATAGAATATATTAATGATGAAAAAGGGCATCAGTGAAAGCCAAACAATGCTCAAATCGGAGAAAGAGGGGTTACTGTAATGATCCTGCGCTACGACTACAGTGGACGGCATGATTGCAAATTTCGGATTTGGTAAGGGCTTACCTAGCTCAAGTCGATCATGCGCCAAAGGCTACGTAGGTTTCTGACATGCAGGCTAATAGGGTTGTGCAAGAGCGACGCTCTCCATATTACTGCCTGATCGGTGGTGCCACACTGAGGACGGGTCTTTGACCGATCTATTTGACACATCTCACGCAGTCCAGAGTGTTGCGTCAATTGTCTCACCTAAAGGGATGAGATGGTTGAAACGCATATTATTTTCATGTGCACGTGCAGAATTTCTGCAAGCTTTCGCCGGAACTTTGTCTTGAAGGAGCAATGCAGCTTTTCACACAGGTGGACAGCTGCAGCTCCAGCGATAATGACTGCCGCACGCTTTTGCGTGGCAGAACATTGCAGCCATGGCACACTATGCAGCTTTGACCTGAGCAGTGAATTCACTCAAGACGGTCAACCCCTACAATGATTGCCCAATAGCATCAAGCAAGGGGTCTTCCATTGTATTATTGGGTGAATTGATGGGTCAATTTCTAGATAAACATTCTCCAGAGGGCTGCATCTCCCAAACATTGTCCCCACATACACATTGCAATATGAGCTAAGATTGATCTTACTATCTTCATACCCTGTGTGAGCCAACTGTGCTTCTGTGTCATTCCGCTAGGCACGTGCAATGTGTTTTGCAATTACTGTTTTTGGAGAACTTTAGTATGCAATAACGTGGGAGGTTTGATGCACCCCAAAAATTAAAACAACTATATACTCGTATGTATATAAGTACCTTGGGGATCCTCCAGGGCGGTCCCAGAGATTGCAACTTGTATACATTTTGGGTCCCTGTCCTAAAGCATAGAAATTATGTAAGTTACATTTGGGACCTCCATCCGTTGTTAATTTGTGGGGGCGATGGTGCCAAGGATAAGTCTAATTAGCCCAAGCGACATGAATTCACCCAAGCTTTGGAACCTCATCCAGAAGCTGCTCCGGATCCTACTCCGATCTGCCCCGAAATCTTTACTATAGCTGAAGACCCCTAAGCTTCGCTATTGGGGAAGAATCTTGCAACTCTAAGCGGCATCTCTCGGCGTGGGTTTGTGCCTGACATTTTGCAAGTGCAAGTGGCAAGTGTTGGCTCCTGGGTGATTTCAATAACCCAACTCTTCCTATTTGCATCCTTGAAGCTGCCGAGGCCTGCACGTTTCTGATTTGCATCAACAACCACCGCAGGTCGGGACAACCAAACAACAACTATACAGCCACGGGTGCACTAGTAAGTCGTCTCGACGAGTCGATAACTGCATGTATTTTTGACGCCAGTGTGGGTGGGAACTTCTTCACATATTTTCACACATTTCGCAACAAAATGGAACAAGACTCATGTTTCATGTCAAAACTATATATATATACAATTATATACAGTATGTGTGTGTGTAGATAATATTTAACATTTCAGAGACACCACCAATGAGGTCGGCACGCAGTTTTTCTACCCTTGTCTTTGTGTGCCTCTCATCAATCAAGGAGTTCATGAACTCTTCCGGCGTTTTGTTTTCAAGTTGCCTTCACGTGATCGTCACCATGTCAATCTATCATATCACGATGACCCCCTTGTGAGGACCAAATCAATGCAATCGACCTCTATGTCGTGCAATCGTTGACAGTCTTGTCATTTAGATGAACCATCTCACGCCGATGACATCGGAAGCACTCGCCCAACCCGGACCCCCACCCCATTCGTAAATCAGGTGACCATGCGATTGCATTGGTGCGAAGCCAATAGCATAGTGCCTTTCGCCATTGAAGAATGGCCGGTGACGGTGAGAATGGGTCTCAGGAATCCATTTGATGCAGCCTGAGTGCTTTGTCAAAGCTGTCTCACTCAAAGTTGCGCGGTGGCTGAAGTGCGCATGGGCTACTGTAGATGCCTGATGGTTAGTGCGGAATCGCAACAAGCTTTCGCAAGTGCAACTCTTGCAAGTCAATTGGTAGAAGATTTCAGCGAATCATGGTTTTAAGTTCATTTGCTTTTCAGAATGCAAACCCCGGGTTAAATCCACCGCACCCCCCTCTCTTGGTTTGGAAGTTCAACAAGGTCTGAGGTACCATTCATGGGGGCCACCCCCACGTCACCGTAGCCCTAGTGCTAGCGGCAGTGGCAATAGTAGGCGTAGTATTGAAAAGGTTGGGGAGACATGATTTTAAGATATGTTAAGCGGCTTTTTGCAAAAGACATATCCAAACACAAAAAGACACAGGAACGCAGGATCAAGTCATTTCAAGTCCATATTTTGACTGATGATATATGATGATTGTGATGGTGATTATGGTTGATGTTTGATGTTGAATGATGATGATGATGATGACGATGACGATGATGATGGTTGATGATTGATGATGATGATGATGATGATGATGATGATGATGATGATGACGATGACGATGGTGATGAAGATGATTGAAGATGATGATGGTGATAATGATGATGATTGAAGATGATGATGATGATGATGCTTGATGATGCTTGATGATGCTTGATGAGGATGATGAGGATGAGGATGATGGATGGATGGATGGATGGATGGATGGAGTGATGGAGTGATGGATGGATGGATGGATGGGTTGATTGATTGATTGATTGATGGATGGATTGATTGATGATGATGATGATGATGCTGGTTGTTGAAGTTGGTTGCCATTGTTTACGGAGAACCCTTCGCAGGTGTTTATGGAAAAAAAGAATCAGGAACACTTTTTGTGACATTCTTTGGCGGAGGACATCTGGAAAGCTGACTGACATCCAAACATCTTGGACAGGGTTGACTTTGTGCGGGCAGCAAGTTGAACTCAATAAAGGCAACCAAAACTGCAACAAAATTGGAACAAAAGCAGCACTTCAATCTGAGCTAGCACGAGCCTGTGTCCAACAGCAACCACAGCCGAAACAATTACTCCAAGGGTCAGTTTGTGACACCAATGTTATGGTAATTACAAGGGTATCGAAAAAGGTGCACTTGATCCACAACAGCACCGAAGACAATTTGCAAGGGTGGGCTGCGCTGGCTTTGCGGCGCGCACCGTACTGTCTACGGTTCTACGTGCCTTTTTATGATGGGCTTTGTTCGCCTGCACATGGCGCTGCCCTCGTGCGGGTTCTGCAGCAATATCATGTCTTGTCTCAAGCAAACTTGGTGTAGGACACTGCTATCCCTTGAGACCACTCATTGCGCACACTTAAAAAAATAGGTCTCACTTCAGCACAGTTGGTTGCAATGGAGACAAAACATGTCAGATGCTTTGTAGTTACAACATATACACCACATGTTGTTGAGCAAGGCACTGTTGCTGGCAAGAATAGAGTCTTCGCACACGTCCACGGCAAAAAGGGACGGTCGGCTAATGGTACGGGAAGAGAAACCTGGAGCATGCGATAGCCAAGGATTTGATTGCACGGGACAAAAGAGCTGTCGCAAGGCGCAGCTTGTTGTTTCTTGAGCCAAAGTGTTGTGATGCCATGTTATGCACCAACGGTATACTTCTCGTCCGCACTCCCCCCGGCACAGCTGTGCCGTCCATGGGGGTCAAAAAAAATCACATGCTCCTCGGCCCTGTTCGCTCGATGAAGCAGGAGTAGCCTATCCAACTGCCCGACCCGGTAAGCTCAGATCGCCGCCAGTCGCTGTCGATGACCACCCGATGACCACCCTCCGATGCCATTCTTCACCTTTTCACCCGATCGTCACCCTTGGCGCTTCACTTTTGGAGGAAGTCTCCTCGAAACGTTCGTTTTGGAGACTTGGCGCTTCACGTGTGGAGCTGGACTCAGACCTGGCCAGTTTGTAGCGCAAATGTCGTGCGGGAAAGAGCTTTTCGGAGCTTGACTCAGAAGTGGCCAGTTTGGAGTACAAATGTGGCACGGGAAAGAGCTTTTTGGAGCTGGACTCAGACCTGGCCAGTTTGTAGTGCAAATGTAGTACGGGAAAGAGCTTTTTGGAGCTGGACTGAGAAGTGGCCAGTTTGTAGTGCAAATGTAGTACGGGAAAGAGCCTTTCGGAGCTGGACTCAGAAGTGGTCAGTTTGTAGTACAAATGTTGTCCGGGAAACAGCGGGACTCAGAAGTGTTTGCTTCTAGTGTGGGCAGACCGTGTGGCGAATTACGTTCGTGATGTCGCAGTGCCATGCGGATTTGCGCGGCCTTG